TGCAGTAGCTCAAACGTAACTGTCCAGAACTTACTAAATCTCTCAAGTAATGGAATCTCATCTCAATATGCTTGCTCCTCCCATGTGCTATGGGATTCTTAGCAAGGTTGATGGCTGAAACATTGTCCACCAACAGCAGAACAGCTCCTCTCGTGTTGCTGTCCAGCTCACGCAGCAGGTTCACTAGCCACACAGCTTGGCATGCACATAACGAAGTTGCGATATACTCCGCCTCACAAGAAGAGAGAGCAACCACCGGCTCCTTTTTAGAACACCAAGAGATTGGTGCTCCTCCGAACATAAAAACATAACCGGCCGTTGATTTCCGATCGTCCTTATCTCTGCACCAATTGGAGTCGGTGTATCCGAGTAATTCGCAACTTTTGCCCATGTCACTTGCAGGAAATAAAATCCCACAGCCAAGAGTACCTTTCACATATCTAAGGATCCTCTTAACCGCTGCCAAGTGTGATACCTTCGGCCTCTCCATGAACCTACTTGCAATACCGACACTAAACGCTAAATCTGGCCGCATATTGCACAAGTAACGCAATGATCCTATCAATCACCGGTATTAAGTAGGATCCACATCTTGCTCATCTTCACTCTTGGACAGCTGTAAACGTGCCTCGGCTGGTGTTGTGGCAGCATTACAATGCTCCATATCACACCTCTTCAAAATCTCCATTGCATACCTTCTTTGATGCATGAGCAGTCCCAACTTTGTTTTTTGGAACTCTATGCCTAAGAAGTATTTCATAGAGCCAAGATCACTCATTTCAAACTCCCCCATAAGCTCTTCTTTGAACTTTGAAATGTACTTTTCACAACTGCCCGTAATCAACAAATCGTCCACATAAAGACAAAGTATGATTACTCCTTTGCTTTTATCCGACTTCACATACACACCGTGTTCGGATACGCACTTCTTGAAACCAATGTTGATAAGAAAAACATCTATGCGTTTGTTCCAAGCTCTTGGAGCTTGTTTCAAACCATAGAGTGCCTTCCTAAATTTGTAGACCCTTTCCTCTTGATTTTGTATCACAAAACCAGGTGGCTGTCCAACATACACTTCCTCATCCAATGGACCATTCAAAAACGCCAATTTGACGTCCATTTGATATAACGACCAGATGTTGTTATTTGCAATCGCAACAACTAACCGGATGGTTTCATGCCTTGCAACCGGTGCGAATACCTCATCAAAGTCTATGCCTTCTTTTTGCAAAAATCCCTTTGCTACCAATCGAGCCTTATGCTTGATTATCTCGCCTTTCGGATTTGCTTTTACTTTGTAAACCCATTTCACACCAATCGCCTTTTTACCTTTCGGTAAATCAACCAACACCCAAGTATTGTTCTTCTCAATCGATTTCAACTCTTCCTTCATTGCACACATCCATTTTGGATCGCTTAATGCCTCCTCCGTATTTACTGGTTCGGATTCGGCCATTAAAGCGAAATGAATAAGATCACCATCATTGTTGATCTCACTATCTCGGAACAGTTCACAATCTCGGAGTCTTTGAGGCATACCTCTATGCCTTATTGGTCTACCCTCATTCACAACATTGTTTTCAGCTGCTGTAGGTGCTGGTACAGCGGCATCAGACAACTCCGGATCAGAGATTTCAAAAAACTGCTGCTGCTGATTTTCTGCTGCTGTTTCTGCACTTTTGATTTCATCAAAAGTCACGTCCCGGCTTATCACGATCTTCCGATTCTTCTCATCAAACAACTTGTAACCACCAGTAGAGTGATATCCAACAAATATCAACTTCTCACCTTTATCATCCAACTTCTTTCTAAGTTGATTTGGTACATGACGATATGCAATCGATCCAAAAACACGCAAATGAACCACACTCGGTTTGAAACCACTCCAAACCTCTTCCGGTGTGATTCTCTCCAGCTTCTTAGTAGGACACCTATTCAACAAGTAGGTGGCTGTAGATACGGCCTCACCCCACAATTCTTTAGGTAACTTCTTCCCACAAAGCATGCTACGCACCATGTTCATTATTGTACGATTTTTCCTCTCGGCAGCCCCGTTTTGTTGAGGCGTATATGGAGGCACCACCTCACGCACAATACCCTCAAGATCACAAAACTTCCCAAATTCACTAGAGGTATATTCACCTCCACCATCCGTTTTGAGAATTTTGAGCTTCCGGCCGCTTTGACGCTCCACCATGGATTTGAAACTCTTGAACACTCTAAATACCTCATCCTTTCTCTTGATAAGATAAGTCCAAAGCTTCCTACTAAAATCGTCAATAAACGTAACAAAATATCGATTGCCGCCATAAGTCTCTACTTGCATCGGTCCACAAACATCGGAATACACCACCTCAAGTAAGCCTTTGGTTCTTCGACCCGCATACTTGCTAAACACATTCTTGTGTTGCTTACTCTTCACACATTCCTCACATAATTCTGTCGGAACACTAATATGTGGCAGCCCCGTTACGATTTCACTTTGTTGCAACATTTTAAGATCCCTAAAGTTTAGGTGACCAAGACGGTAATGCCCTAACCACTCATCTCTACTTGCCGCGGTATCTAAACAACGATGTTCCATAACCTTTAACTCAACCTTAAAAGTTCTATTGGCAGCCATCGGCGCTTTTAGAATCAACACACCATTTGAATCTAAAACGCGTAACATCTTATTCTCCAATCGAATTAAGTACCCTCTTTCAAGCAATTGGCCAATGCTTAAAAGATTGCACTTAATTCCCGGTATGTACAAGACATCTTTGATCCTAGAGTGTCCACCATTCTTTCTTCCGATCAAAACATCTCCTACCCCTTCGGCGCTTAAAGTAGTGTCGTCGGCAAACTTGACTTTACTCTTTGTCGCTTGATTGATTTGCACAAACCAATCCTTTCGACCCGTCATATGTGTTGAACAACCGGAATCCAAGTACCATTCATCTTTAATTTGGACTCCCTCACGCACGGTAACTAATGCATTTCGATCTGAACATATTTTTTCGCCACTTTCCAAAACAGTACAGCTGCTGTCCCACACACTATCATCACAGTAGCTGCTGCCCGGAACATCAACAATGCCATAATTCTCTTCCGTAATCATCACAAGAAGGGTATCTTCATCATCTACCTCTTCCCTAGCAACCTTCGCCTCATCCGCATCCTTTTCCTTGCGTTTTGAGCGACATTCTTTCGCAAAATGCCCAAGCTTTTGACAATTATAACACTTCACAGAACTTTTGTCAAACGGTTTGTGGGCGCTTTGATTACCATCTTTGGAGCTTCCTTCACCCTTTGAATTTTGTGGATCTTTTCCACCAAAATTCTTCTTATTTTTTGAAGTCCACTTCCCTTTCGATCTCTTGTTCTTCTCATGTAAACGCGCTTGCAAAGCGATCTCCGCTTTGGCTTTGTCGGCACTTCTCTCATCCATCCTTTGTTCATGCGCCTCTAACGAACTTTGAAACTCATCTTTACTCAAAGTTGTTAGATCCTTTGACTCCTCAATAGCCACAACAATGTTATCGAAACGTGATGTTAACGAACGTAACACTTTCGATACAACATTCTGCTCAAGGATCGTTTCGCCACATGACTTGATTTGGTTGACTAACCGGGTAATGCGCGTTATGTAATTGTTGATCGTTTCTTTGTCCTCCATTTGCGTTAACTCGAATTGACGTTTGTAAGTTTGTAACCTTACCACCTTCGTTTTGACGGCACCGGCATACGCTTTCTCCAAGATTTCCCATGCTTGCTTCGCGGATTCACAATCACCAACCTTCTCGAAATTGTCGTTATCAACACAAGAGTGAATCAAGAATAGGGCTTTGTAATCCTTTTTCTTTTCTTCCTTGTGTGTAGCCCTACGAGCATCGGTAGCATCTGCCCCTAATGGTGTAACTCCATTGATGACGATCTCAAGAACCTCTTGATAACCAAACAGAACCTTCATTTGTTTCGCCCATTTGTCGTAGTTCTTCGAATCAAGAATTGGGAGATTGGTGGGAATTCGATCATTGGAAACGGTAGCCATTGTTGGTGTTGCAGCGGATTGGGATCAATAACCAATGCTCTTGATGCCAAATGTTAGAACAAGCACAAAACCTTGTATGTGAATCAATGGAGATGATGGATAATTTTGGTGAAATTAGAGGATTGGGGAAGATCAAGTTTAGAGAGAATAGAGATTAATTGAGAGGGTAAAAAATCATAGGGCATTAATTCCATTCAACATGTTACAAAATGTATATATAGTGCCTGCTAACACTAAACAAAGTAACAAAACAAAAGCTAAACAAAACAGCCTAAAAACAGAAATAATTTTTTCGGTTTTTCCTGCAGCATACTGGCAGCTTTTCCAAAATAGCTTCTCAAATAAGCTATTCTCCAAAAACACTTCAAAACCAATTACACTGCATTTGACTTATTCTAATCATTCAACACAGAAGATGATGAGGAAGTGAAGATAATTGTTGCGAAGATCGATGATGATCGAAGATTGTTGAAGATTGTATAGAATTGATTCAGAGGGAGAAGAAAGATGAAGCTCGGTTGTAGAGAGTGAGCAGAGAGATTTCAGATTGGGGGATTCTCTAGAATTTTGAGAATGAATTGGACTCGAGGTGAGTTTCTGTTTATATATATGCACAAGTTTGTTACGTAAAAAAGAATCCTATCCTTTGGATATGAAAATCTGTTATGAAAGGGAATGGTGAGGATCTGCTATTATGCTGAGCTGTCAAAGTTATTTCTGATTTTTCTTTTCCACGGTTTCCACCCTTTCTTCTGATATTTTTTATTCTGATGTGCTCTTTATTCCTCCTAATTTCTTGTTTTGAATTAATTGGTGCGGGGCTGAAATTTGTTTCAATGCTGACTAGTGCAAGTTTTTTTGTATCAAGGTTTGGTGCAGATTTTAACAAAGGTCAAAGCATGGTTTTCACTAGGGGATAAAATTTCTCGTGCAAAAGCTAAAGAATAGACACAATGGGGATTTACGAATGAAAGACTCAACCGTAAGGTTACTGGGAAATAACCAGGCTTTGGAAAATAATAGATGGGGAGCAAATGCTGGACTTCAGTATGGTTACTGGACTACGGACCAACCAGGTGATTGTAATGAAAAATGTTCCAGGTTATAGACGTCAGTAGGGTTACCAAGAGACGGGTATTTGGGGGAAAAAAGAAGGAAAAAAATCACAGCAAGGTTTCCAACATCGGTAGCGTTACCAGAAAGCTTTAATCAAGTGACTGGACAAGAAAGGATATCAAGGTTGCTAACTTCGATAGTGTTACCATGAAATAAGTATTTGGAAAAAGATCATGGTAAGGTTACAACATCAGTAGGTTTATCGAAAGGCTTCAATCAAGTGATTGGGAAATGAAGTAGACAATAAGGTCATTAGCATCGGTAGAGTTACCAAAAAACAAATGAGGTAGTAAGGTTGCTAAGGTTGGTGGGGTCACCGGGAGATGACAAGAATAATTTGGAAAACATTAAGGTTATTGAAAATGGCAGGTTTATCAGAAGACATCAATCAGGTGATTGGGAAAACAAGGATAACAAGGTTTCTAGCAACAGTAGGGTTACCGGGAATTGACAATCGGGTGATTGGAAAAGGTAACCATATTCAATTTAGGAACATCGGCAAGGTTACCGAGTAATAACAAGAGCAATTTTGGTAAATAGTAAGGTTACTGACAACCGTAGGGTTACCAAAAGACATCAATCAAGTGATTGGAAATTATGACTCAGAGGTCAGAAAAGAGTAACTCACAACTCAGGGGTTGAAAAATCATGACTCGAGGGTCGGAAAGGAAACAAAACCAAACTCAGTTGTTAGAAACTCACGACTCGATGGTCGGAAAAGAGACGAATCTCTCACGCGTAAGGCAATAAGGGTACTTACAACAAGTAAGTGCAAAAGAGAAGGATCTTTGGAGGAATATGAATCACCAACACACTCTACTGGGGAGACATCCCTCATGCGCAAGGCAGAGGGGACTGACTTACAAAAGGTAAGCAAAGGAGAAACGATTCTCTCGCGCATGAGGCAAAGAGAGTTTTCATAAGGCAAGATGCTATGTGAATCAGATTGGATTTGTGGGAAACTGACACAAAGTCAAGAAAGTTTGCAGAAAGCAATAATAAGAAGATATAATTTATGGAAAACCTGCGGGGAATACCACTTGGGGTTTCTGAGGAATAAAGTTCTCTTCGGGGAGGTTAAACCATCTAATTGAGAATGGAAAGGGTGCTTGAGAAAGACTTGAAACTGGCTTATGCTTAAATACATGTTTGTGATTTTTTAGGGTAATGCTCCGCCTAAGTGGAAATGCTACGCGATTTTGAGGATGCAATGTAATGCAAAGGTGACTACTATATGCAATGTGCTAAGGCGAAGATATCTACTGGGAACTCAAAGGATGAAGACTTCTGACTTCTGCTAAAGAATTCCAATAACCTAGACTTAAATCTCTGATCTCTGATGGAGGAACGTCAATACCTGGACTTAAATATTTGATCTCTACCGAGGATAACAATTCTAACTTCTGTTGAGGATAACAATCCTAACTTCTGTGGAGGATAATGATTCTGAATTCTCGACATGCTCTTCGAACTCACAAGTTGTTTAGCTTGTGCCTGAACTTAACTTGATTAACTCTTGAAGAGGAGGAAATGCCCTTGCATACTGCCTTTCCCCAACCTGTAAGGCTTTTGAAGAAATTTGCCTCAAGAGGAATTCCTGAGATTTGTGTCATCATAGATAGTCTGTCCCAGTATTATGACCTTTGGAACACTGCCCCTGACTCCACCAAAGTTGGAGATGGTTTCACCGGTGCTTGGGTGACTGCCCCTGATTACTCAATACTTAGAGAAATTCATCAAATCTCGACAAGACTCCCCCAGATTAACTGAACTCTTACTTAACAGAGTATTTAAAGGCATCACCCTTAGGGTAATCAGACTTTGAGGTACTTTTTCTCTGCTCAACATTGTACTAACATTGAAATATCTTGCCCCTACTCAACAGAAGAATGAGAAGCTCATAGAGGTTGATTGGTGTTTCTCACAAACAGGATGGAGGGTGTCTAATCAAACTTGACATCACCTAACAAGTCTATGAGAACATGGAACTCTTGTTATGCTGGAGAAGAAGATACATTCAAGGGGTCATGTGCAATAGGAGATGCATAAATCTGAGATAAGTTAATATTCTTTTGAAAAAATAGCTTATAGTTGTGGTGTGAATTAGTCAGTAGTTGATTTGTATCTGTATTTTCGGAGTGTCATGTAAACAATTTGGGATGAGCTAAGTTGTCAAGATTTTGAGGTTGAAGAATTGGGAGAAGTAGACTTATTCTGGACAGCCTATTTATGGTATGATGATCATTCAATACCATGTTTGTTGTGGTCTCTCCTAGATGTTTGTTAGAGAGAATCTTCTCCATTGATGCATAATGATGACATCTAACACCTTAAAGTCAGAAACAAGGTCTGGATTTTGTGCTTATAAGAAGAAGCTTCTTAGGGTGTGTTAATATGCAGATTACTGCATGGTTTCATGATCTGGTCTTGGGAGTTGATCAGCTGATGTTTAGTACCAGTATGTGTTCTCTTGTATTCTCCCTCAAGAGATATGTTTAAATTACTATGGTGTTATCTCTAGAACCATAGTAAATGGTGGAAACCATGTGACTGAGATTGATGTCTGAAAAGATGTTGGGACATCATTGTCGTAATCGGAAAAAAATAACGAGTGACCACCATTAATTTTTGTCCTAAGGGCGGAAAAATAACAGATAACCCTAATCGTTTAGAGATTCTAAGTTCGCGAGTTTGTTAGACGAAGGGAAGTTGTTAGGCATCCTTCATCTCCCATTGTTCTCAAGGGGCTCCTCTTCTAGGTCGTAGGGTAGATCAAAAATTTCTACTTAAAGGTTAATGTTTCCACATGTTTAAGAAAACGATTTAATTTCTTAATAGCTGGACTCGCCTTGGTTTTAACCACGTGCCTACGTATCTCCTTGCGAAGAATCATAGTCCAATTTCATAGCTCGTATGTTTGGTAGGTGTTTCTTATAGGATTGTGTAGAATTGCTTTCGAATTATCTTTGAACCTTGTCTGGTTTTGAAAATTGAGTGATCGTAGACGCAGTTCGCAATTAAGTTTGAAGGCAATGATATTTAATCTTTTTTTGAAAATGTTCTTTTAGGTAAGTTAGTAGAAAAAATAGTTTGAATTGGTTAGCTGTTTTAATGAGATTTTTATTGGTTGCAGAAGAGTTGATCTTCTTTATAATTAAATCGCGTTAGGCGATGAAATTGATTTTTATAGGGAGTTGATCCTTATTAGAATTAAATCGCGTTGAGCGAAGTAATTAAAATTGATAATCACGTGGAGCGATAGCGTTTGATTATTTGTGTAGAGCAAAAACCAAGACTTGATGTGTTGTGAATTTTAGATTTGATTTTGAATAATCGATTGATAGACGATGAGTCACCAAATGATTCTTCAAGAATGTATATCCCATTATTTATGAAAATGTTTGAGTTAATAAGATTAAAAAATTATTTGAATATGTACTAACTAATTAATTTAATTCATCTTAAAATGACTAACCTAATTTACAAAAAATAAAACAATTTTTTTATTTATTTCTGATATAGTAAACATTAACCTAAATTAATTATAAAAATCTAACTAAGTAAATAAACTACATAGATAAATAACCAATAAATAAAAAAATGGGGGTGTTAAAACAGTTAAGGTGAAATTAGTAACAAGTGTCTAAAGGAAGGTCCAAACACACAAATCCTAATTGTAAATGTACATAATAAGAGAATAAATGCAAAAATAGATAATACAGTAAGTCAGAAAAAAAACCTTGAGTGGCTACCTCCCATTTCACGTGGGGAATTTTCAACATGACTCCATCAGCCAATGAAGTATCGACACATGTCAGTGTCATTAAAAAATAATTAAAAACAAACTTTATCACATTGAGATCTATGGAGGAGTCTGAATGGTTGAAGATGGACGGGATCTGCGGCGGCGCGTCGAAGGGGTTGTGGTGCCGCGGCTCAAGATCGTGGCGACAACTTTCGATGTGGGTGATTGTCGATTCGTCAAGTTAAGCAGCTTGCGGACATTGAGGGTGCTGAAACATCACGACTCCCATCGGAGGTGACCATTGTCGCGCGTTCGTTGGTTCGCTGGTAAGATTCCATACAAAGAATGAATTCTTGTCGTGTTTACTTTTGGAATAAAGTTTTGAAAAGTTATGTTTTTGTTGTGTGAGAAATTGTTAGTAACGTGTGAGGATTATGAGTGTTAGTGGTTAGTGAAGAATTGTTACTCAATACTATATACAAGAAAGAATTCATAAATAAAATAGGGTTTATTTTATAATAAAAAAGTTTAAAAAATAATATAACAGCAAAGCACAAATTGCAAGTGGATGTTTTGTGGTGGAATTGCGTAGTTATCAAACTACGATTTTTAAAAGAAAGAAAATCATCAGAAAATTTATAATATGGTTAAAATAATAAATTAATTAATGAAGTAAAATTGGAAATAAATAGGAGGCCTTATAGGATAATTATTTGTCAAAATTGTTGATGAGAAATCGCAAAAAGTTTTGAAAAAAATGCGTGTAATGCGTGTGTAAATGATTGTTGCTTTGTGAATAATGTGGCTGTGAAATTGGAAATTTGTGGGTGTTCTTTTATGAAGGAAAAGAGACATATTTATAATGTGAGAAATTAGATCAAATTGAAAATAAAGAAATGGAAATTTGTGGGTGTTCTTTTATGAAGGAAAAAAGACCTATTTATAATGTGAGAAATTAGATCAAATTGAAAATAAAGAAATTACTCAAACAGTAAAAAGTCAAAAGATTTTATCTTTGACAACAAAATTAAGAATCTGAACCAATTTGTGTACATGTGCAAGATATAGTTTGGAAAAAGATTTGACCTAAAAATATTTTATTTATTTTTAAGATTTTTGACTATTTTTTAAATAAAATAATAATTTTAATAAAAAATAATATTTTTAAAATATAATAAATAAAATAAAACGATAATAGTAATTAAATAATAAAAAATATGATTTTTTGTGATTTTAAGAATAATTAAAAATGAAAACAAAGTTAGTAACAAATAAACAAAAAAAATCCAAAATGCACCAAGTGAGATTCGAAATTATGACCTTATGTTTGCAAGGTTTCTCCCTTATCAATTGTGATATGTTGCTTATTTGAAATAAAATGCCAATTGAAAGTATATGAAGGGTAAGCAAGTTTTTGCTATTTAAGAAATATAAATAATTTAAAATAAACTACTATATATTTTTAAATGGACAAAATAAATTGAAAACAAATTTTTATACAACCCAAAATGCTAGTGTACATAAACCAAAAATTTTATAAAGTCCAAGTTAAAAATAATTTGATTGTAGAAATAGTACGGATAAATTTGGAGTATGACAGTTGCCCCTATTTAATTACTCTTCGATTGAAGCGTGCGAGTATATGAAGCTTTCGCATGTTCGGATCAGAGGATTATTAAATAATAGAAGACCCTAAATTTCAACCAAAAAACTTTTAAAAGATAAAATGTACAATAAACCAAAAAGTAAACATACAAGGATGACGCAGTTAACTCACCAATGCCTAGAGCATGAACATAAATGACTTGAATGTGACGACGCGGATAACTCGTGCATATCATAGGTAACCAAGAGAAGACGGCGTGGATAACTCGTCAATACCTTGAAAAAGTAATCGCAAATTTCGTGTATTTACAACAACCTATGGGATAAATAACGCGAACTTGAAAATAGACAACTTATTGCTGCTCTGGGACTAACACAATAAGTTATATTGCAGATTTTGCATATCTACCACAATCTAGGGGATTGATAATATAGGGTTTGATAACTTATCGTCGCTTTAAGACTAACACAATAAATTATATTGCATATTTTGTACATCTACCACAACCTAGGGAGTAGATAATACGAGTTTTAAAAAATAACTTACTAAAGCTTCGGGACTAACATAGTAAGCTGTATCGCAAATTTTTCACATCTACCACATCCTAAGGGGTTAGACAATGTGAGTTTGAAAAATAGATAATCTATTACTGCTTCGAGACTAGCGTAATAAGCTATATCGTAGATTTTGCATATTTATCACAATCAAGGTGATAAATGACGCAAGTTTTATAATTCATTGTTGCTTTGAGACTAACACAATAAATTATATTGCATATTTTGTACATCTACCACAATCTAGGGAGTAGATAATACGAGTTTTGAAAAATAACTCACTAAAGCTTCGGAACTAACATAGTAAGATGTATCGTAGTTTTGCGATATTTATCATAACCTAGGGGATAAATGACGCGGGTTTTGAAAAATAGATAACTTATTGTTGCTTCAAGACTAATGCAACAAGTTATATCATAGATTTTTCATATTTATCACAACCTAGGGGATACATAATGTAGAGTTTGAAAATAAATAACTTATTGCTACTTATAGACTAACACGACGATTTAAATGATACGGGTTCAAAAATATCTTACTAACGCTTTGAGACTAACATAGTAAGCTATATCGTAGATTTGCATATTTGTCACAACCTAGAGGATAAATATCACAAACTTGATAATTCACTATTGCTTCGAGACTGAGACAATGAACTATATCGCAGATTTTCGCATATCTACCACAACCTATGGGGTAGATAACACGAATATTGACTCTATTTACGCCAGGGGACTAATCTAATAGAGTCGGGTTTGGTGAGAAACTAGTTAAAGCTTTGAGACTAACATAGAGAGTTGTAATGCAGACTTGCATATTTATCACAACCTATAGGATAAATGATGCGAGTTCGATGTTTGAATTTGTGTTTGATAATTGAATCTTAAATGGCTAAACCAAAGATATAAATCATAGATATATCACCTGGTACAACCCTGATCTACCGATTGTGTCTGTTCTCAACTAAAGTATTTGTTGAACAATGCTAAGGTTTAAACTTTTGGTTCGTTTAGATAAGTTATCTTGTAATAGGCTCTAAGATGTTTCGCAGTACTCTTGACCAAAGAAATTTTGAAAATGCAATGTAAGATGTATATGTATAATGCCCAAATTGATCCCTGAGGTATCCTCAAGGAAAACCATCCATTCCAATCAATCCCTGAGGTATCATATAGTAAGTCTTGATCATTATTGATGATCAAAGAGGCCTAAAACCCGCATTTCATGCATCACTGGTTCTACATATTTGTGAAATTAATATTTTAATTTTTATGAGGCTTTGACCTAAACTAACAATTTCCACGTGTTCCTAAGACAAAATAGTGCAGGTTTGATCTTTTGCATGAGGCCTATTACGCCAGAATAATTCATCACCATTATTGAACCGTTTTCCTTTGTTTTCATCATATCTTCTTGTACAGGTCGAATTAGCCAAAAATAATGCCACCATTGTATTCGCAAGGGTCGATTTATGGGGATAGAGTCCTTTTTACTCTCTAACGCGTGTTATTTTTGTAGGTTGAGAAACGAGCTCACCGAAGAAGACGACCGAAGCTAGGGCTCTGGCGCCTCTCCGGTCCACCTGCTTATAATATATTTATTTGTTTCATTTGTATAACAAATTTGAAGCGCAACGCGGTTGGTTAAGGAGAAGGCATGTAGAGTTAAGGGCGTGGGTTCGATCCCTGCATCTTATAATATTTTTTTGCTATTTTTCAAACTAACGCAGATTTCATATATATTATGCAATTCCTATTTCCATACATCAACAAGTGCTTGACCTAGTGGCAAGCAGTGCAATGTGATGCTAGGAGGGTGTGGGTTCAACACCCACCCCATGCAGTTTATTTTTACCCTATTTTCTTTTAACCTAATTTCTTCTTTTTCTTTTATATTCCTAAATTAATTAATTAATCAACTTTCTCTTGTAAATATTAAAATCAATTAGAATTTAGGTTATAATTAGTATCACTTAAATTATTTTCTACAAAAATCATAAAAAACATTTTAACATTATTTTTCTATTTTCCTATTTCTTTTATTTATCTTCATAGATAAAATGTATAGGACGCACTCTCTATTGTAATAGTGTGGATTTACTTTCTATATTTTTTCCTATTATGTAACTGCTCACAGGATGTAATAGCTTAGGCTTAATTTTTCGCACTTTACATTCCACATTTTATTTTTTTGTACATATTTAACTGCTAGTAACTAGGATTTGTATGGCAAGACTAATAATTGAACCTAGAAAACCCTAATTTTCAAGATAAATAACTGAAAACAAACATTCTTCACACTTGCACCTTCAGAGTACCCTCTCTTGTTCCCTTACGATACTTGGTCATGTCCCTCGAAAGTGGGGATGCTTTAGCAAAAGACCCTTACTAATAAAGATCATAGTCCCTCGATGACCCTTCGAAGTTGCCTATAAAAATGATCTAGTTGTAGCGGTAGAAATGTTCAAGACTAAGCCATTGGATTAACTAGACTTTATACAAATCAAAATAAAAATCGCCACCGCGCTTTATTGTTTCCAAAGGAATGGGAAAAGAGTGAATAACCCAAAAAAAAGGGGAAAGATTCAAGGTAAGGGGGTTGGTTATGCAAAGGGAAGGTATTAGCACCCTAAACATCTACGGTACTCCGCAGGAACCTCTTTGAAAAAAATCTGTATATTTTGGTTATGAAAATGTGTTATAAAAATAGATGGTGGAGGTGAGAAAAGAAATATTTTTTTATGATTTTTTTGCACTCGCCGCGGTTGCGAACCTTTAGTGCCTATGTACCACCTTTCGTGCAATAGGGGATCAGGGTACACGTAGTTCCTCTTTTAAAATTTTGAAACACAAGTGTGTTGGTTAATTTTATGAGATAAGACATCATTGTCATTGTCCGTGTGGAAAACATACTTACTACCCACAATCATGAGAAAGGAGAATTTGCATCATCTCAAAGTGGAGGATATGGCTTGGATTTTAAAATCAACAATGCCTCACTCAATACCCAAGTGGAAAATATCTCTCTTTACTACATATTGTAGAAGTATAGTTGTTTGTATCACTACAAGGATTGACAAGAGTCTAATCTTTTGAGAAAAGTTTTTAAAATAAAAAGCCAAAGTGGCAAAAATGGTTTGAAATGATATTGATTGACTTTTAGTCTTCTCACAAAAATGTCAAGGTATTATTAAATTGATTGAGGTTTATTTATGAAAATGTTTTGAAAATGCATGGACATAAGTCCAAGTTTATTATGAAAAATGTTTCAAGTTTAGAAATAAGAAGAGTTTTTTTTTTAAAAGGAGGGAGAAGCTTTTTGAAATTAAAGAAGATAGAAGGAGATGAAGAGAGTATCCTAAAGCATAAGGTAAAAGCTAGGGATAAGAACCATCTAACCAACAAGAAGCCAATACTTGACATTATGAGTCAATATAGAATTCCCATTCTTTGGATTGATACCAAGCGAGCAAAGATACTAGACCTCTTGAGAGAACCAAACTTCAAGTGTATTAAGTATTCGCAAAAATTGGGCAGAGTAACGGCTGTATACGGGTGAATTCCAAATTACAAACAAAGTATGTAATCTCAATAACCTGCACACAAAACAAACAAACAACCCAATGTCTTGAGGTAAACCTCAAGAACTCCAGACAAAATAATGAATTAAGGTCACAAGGTCTCCAAGATAGGCCAAGGTCTCTAATCCTAAGTCCGAGAAGTCCAATGCTCCATAATGCCAAGGATAGTAACCAAATAGTCCAAATATCATTAAAGATTTTTATGGTTCATGTTGATTATTAGGTGTCTTTAAAAGGAAAAGAAAATCTCAAATGAGCAAAATAAAAATGACATAAAAAATAAATGCTCAAGTGAGCAAAATAAAAATGGCATGAAATGTAAATGCTTAAATTAAATGGTACATAAAGCATAAAAAAAATAAAAGCATAGAGTAAAGTCAATTGTTAGAAATTAGTGGTTAGTTGGATGACCATCTTGAAACTTGCATTTGGAACTCATTAGAGGATTGGTAGAACCACAACCTCCACACAACAAGTTGCATTTGCTTTTTGTCAAGTATATCATCCATTTTGGAATCCTCAAAAGTAACATTTAATGATCAACGATGTTTAAGTGATCCGCGTTGACCAAAGGTGTTGTAGATCCATTAGAGGATTGGTAGAACCAAAGCCTCCACACAATGAATCTCAAGGTTATTGGATCAAAGAGATCAAATTAACATACTTGGGCTTGCAATCATAAGTTTGGGCCACGAATAATCATTCATTCGAATTGGGACAAAATTTAGCGCTATGTTAAGTAATCGTAAGTGGACTTATGTAGAAGTCACACCTACTTTGAGGCCGGTCAATAGCAATCTATGTACTTCATGTTTGGATAAATGATATAGAGATCATCATACCTTAACATGTAGCACAATTAAAAAAGAAAGGGATAAGATGAAGAGGGAGGGGAATGATAAGCTAATTTGGATTACCATTTCAAAATTCTTTCATCTTTAAATTCAACCACTCCTCTAGATGGATTAAAGTACTAAATATATCATTAATCCAAAGCACCAAAAATGAATTAAATAATTCACTCTTAGGTAGATTTGAATTGATGAACATTTATCCAACTTCATCTACATCACAAAGTCCATTGAGTTTAATGACAAATTGGACATTTAAAATTGTAATCCAAATTATCCATCAAAGAGAGTGAGCAGAAAAATATTTGAGTCAAAACAGTCCCAAAATAAAGCAGAAACAGTATTTTTGGCACTGTTACAATCAATTGTGCTTAGACATCAACCTATTGCATCAGTGCAGTTTTTATCAAATCAATTTTCTGTGACAATCAATTGCAATGTTACAACAATTGATTGCAACCTGTTAAAAATCAGTAGAAAACAACATTTTAAAGATCAAATTCTTGTTCCAACTTTTCATCAAACACCTTATGATCATGGATCCAATTGAGCATGAAAATTCCATCAAATTATGAGAAAACAACACTAATGGAATCAAAAAAACAGTGCTCAATGAATCAAAACCAGAAATCCACAAGAGATCACATTGTTAAAGATGATGATCCAACTTACCAAAGGTAGAATAAGAGAATTATCAAACAAATTCCAGGATTTGCTTCAATTCAACCACTAGAATCAATTACCAAAGCTTGGATGTAGAGAATTAATGGAGAAAAAAGTGTTTGGATGAAGGTTTAGCTCAAAGATTAGTAAGCTTCAATACAAAGCTTACTATCCTTTTTTTTGAAAATGGAGCTTTGAGTGAATTTGGTAGTTGGAGAGAATTGAGAGATTTTTTAGCAAGATGATTTTGGCTATCAAAAGCTTGTTATTTGAATGAAATGAGGTCTATATTTATAGAGTTTAAGATTGGGATTAGTGGTAATTTGGTAATTTATTCTTGGAGCCAAAATTGAATTAATGATAATTTTCAAATTATGCAGGAAAAAATTGGAGCCAAAAATGATATCAGTTTGAATTTGCTGGCTTTTTTTCAAAAAAACACGTGCATTTTACTATTATGAGTCGATACATACATGGTATGCATCGATACATCCTAGCTGTATAACACAACATGTGTCGATACATGCCTCTATGTGTCGATACATACTGTTATTTCAACATATTACAGAATTACACAAACTGCATGAGTCGATACATAACACGTATGTGTCGACACATGCAAGTTATTCAAATAGGATGAGTCGATGCATACATGCATGTGTCGACACATGCTATTTATACACAATAAAATGAGTCGATACATACCTTTATGGGTCGATGCATGCTGTCTTTCGTCATAAACAGAATCAAATCAACTTTCAGGAGTTCGACACGAGCCTTCATGGATCCATACCAGCTTGCAAAACCTTATTTGTCGGACGCTTTGACTCGGTACCTATAAAACAAAATTTTGCAAAGACAAAGACAAATATATTTTTTTTGTATTTGATTAGAAGTTAGTAAACAACACATATACAAAATACACAATCAAGGTGCTTGGAAATTCCTCAAGATCAAACTTAGAGATAGGAGATAGAAAAAGAGGAAGAACCAACCCTAATGTGATCTTATTATGATCAAGTTGACATGATATGATAGGGGAATCTTAGGGGGGAAAATTGGGGTAGAACACTAGTCCCTCCGATAAAAATTGCTAAAGCATCCTTACATGTTTCCTTCAATGAGCATTCGCTGATCCTACGCATGTCCCTTCATATCCGATAGACAAGGCTACCTACCAACTAATGGTACGGATAGAACTATCTATAAAGGAGAAGAAAAATAATAAGAAAGACTTTAGTGGGTGAGGAACTCTTAATCGCTTTCTCATAATCTTTTCTTAAAGACATTTTTTACACATCACACTTTCAAACGAAATATTTTCTAAAACACATTGTACGCATTCTTGAGGGTTGATACAAGAATCATTACAAAGATAGAATTACATTTGCTTTTCAAAGTATTTTGAAACAAATCACACACACACAAAGCAAGTTTTTTTTAAAAGTGAGCTAAGCAATTAAG